GCCTATGTTAGTAACAGAAATAGTTATCTTGAAATATTAATACTTTTAATACTGATATGAAAATATGAATATCTTGCTTTTTTAAATATTAATTTGCACTACCAGTGCTAGAAGCAGGCCGATTCTAGGATTTTCCTTTTGGGGTTAGGGTTAGGGTGTATATATGAGGGTGTGTATAATATATACATATATTCAAATGAAAATGGCAGCATCGTTTTATAAAGTATATGCGTTCATATGTGCTTCATTTTCACTGGAGGAAACCTGTGGTGTGTTGAGGGGTGAACGCAGCGAAAACCTAGGCTACAGTAGATGCAGGGGCGGATCTAGAAAATCATTTTTAGGGTGGCAAAGGGGTGGCATGGGGTCTATGAGGGGTGGCAACACCAAAGCAAGCCCCCATGAATAGTTTTTGGGGATTTATGGTCTGACATACACAGTTGTGTTCACAAATATTGTATTACCATGAAGTAATCATCTATACTGTTTAAAATAAAAAATAAATAACATTTTAATATCCATCAATGCACCAAGTCAATACACAACGTAAAAAAACTTCAACAGGTTATAAATGTTTCTGAGCTTGTATCACTAAAGAAGACATGCGGTTCTATTAAAATTACATAGGCTACTTAGATGGTATAAATCACGTTTTAGTGCAAGTTTAAGAGCAACAAACACTTTTGAATTTCCTGACATTAGAAAGATATACAATAATATCAAAGCACTGAAACGGGATCCGTTTTGAAAACAATGTTTGATTTTCTGTTATTAACAGAGGTGGGAACGTCTGTAATCACCTAGAACAAACTCTATCAACCATTTACTCTAGCAACACCCCAGCAGCTGCATAGCAAGAGCCTAGCAACCACCCAGAATATCCTAGCAACCAACTAGCAACACTTTAGCAAACATATAGAACATCTAACTGACCAAACCATTTACGTTTTTTAAACAAGACTTTAAGACAAGCCAGCACAAATTTGTCTGTCAAACTTTTCAATCTAATTATTACATTTTTTCTTTCAGGTTTTTGCAACTGCTTACACACATTTTCAAAACTTTGCCTCTTTTTTTCAAAACTTTACACACGAATTCAAGAACACACACAAAATGCAAAATGCCTCACATCTCTTGCAAAATGAAGCACTGCATTCAAAATATCACAAACACATCTCCAAAGCAAACATTTGCAAACACCTTTGCCATAATATTAATTCCTGTTAGATTTTTGTGTGTTACGTAGAGATTTGTGTGATGTGTTTTGCAAAAAGTGTTTTATGAAAACAAGGCTGAGAAGTAGTGTATGGTTTTGCAGATTTGGTGTGTGCTTCTGGTGTTTAAGTGTCAGCTTTCAGAAACTGTGTGACAAGTAAAGATTTTGTGTGTAAGCAGTTGAAAAAAACTGTAAATGCTTACACAATTCAAATACACAGATGACTTTCCTGCCCAGTGAACACTGAGATCAATAACACTGTAACAAAAACTCTTACTAGGATTCAGGAATTATTTTTGCAGCTCAATGTCTATTACAGTATGTACTGGTACTGTACTGTAATTATACTGTATGTGTAAGTATAAAACCCCTACATTTAATTGTTTTGAAAACTGAATTAATGGTTTGGGGAAAAAAGTGCCAACCAAAAGCAGTTATATTAACAATCGAGAAAACTGCAATAGGACTAGATTCTTACCTAACTCTGCTATAAGATCCGTAAGTAACCTATCCTACAGAAAAGCATTCAAAACTGCTAGATTTGATTACTTTTCTTCTCTTTTAGAAGAAAACAAACATAACCCCAGGTATTTATTCAATACAGTGGCTAAATTTACGAAAAATAAAGCATCAACAAGTGATGACATTTCCCAACAGCACAGCAGTAATGACTTTATGAACTACTTTACTTCTAAGATCGATACTATTAGAGATAAAATTGTAACCATGCAGCCGTCAGCTATAGTATCGCATCAGATAGCTTGCTATAGATCGCCTGAGGAAAAAATCCACTCATTCTCTACTATGGGAGAGGAAGAATTGTATAAACTTGTTAAATCATCTAAACCAACAACATATATGTTAGACCCTATTCCATCTAAGCTCCTAAAAGAGGTGCTTCCAGAAGTCATAGATTCTCTTCTGACTATTATTAATTCATCATTGTCATTAGGATATGTCCCCAAAACCTTCAAACTGGCTGTTATTAAGCCTCTCATCAAAAAACCACAACTTGACCCCAAAGAACTAGCTAATTACAGACCGATCTCGAATCTCCCTTTTCTGTCCAAGGTATTAGAAAAGGTAGTATCCTCACAATTATATTCCTTCTTAGAGAAAAATGGTATCTGTGAGGATTTCCAGTCAGGATTTAGACCGTATCATAGTACTGAGACTGCTCTCATTAGAGTTACAAATGACCTGCTCTTATCATCTGATTGTGGTTGTATCTCTCTATTAGTGCTATTGGATCTTAGCGCTGCGTTCGACACTATTGACCACAACATTCTCTTGCATAGACTAGAAAACTTTGTTGCCATTAATGGAAGTGCATTAGCATGGTTCAAATCTTACTTATATGACCGCCATCAATCAATCATCAATTCATAGCAGTGAATGAAGAGGTATCACATCGATCACAAGTGCAGTATGGAGTACCTCAAGGCTCGTGGATGATGACATCACTGAATTAAATGATGAACTGCTTTTAACTAAAAAAAGTGTTGGGTGAGGGGGGTGTTGGGGGGGCTGGTCCACTTACGTCAGTGCTCGTGCTGGGGCTGGTGTTGTTTGGATGCCGATTTTGGAAAGTTTTTGCTGGGATGGGCATTTAAAAAAATCTGAAATTCGCTTTTGCCCCATTATCTCCTTGTATTAAAGTTAATCTTGAAAACAGAGGTGTTAATTATAGGACCTAAAAACTCTGCATATAATAACCTAGAACACTCTCTAAGACTTGATGGCTGCTCTGTCAATTCTTCGTCATCAGTTAGGAACCTAGGTGTGCTTTTTGATAGCAATCTTTCCTTAGAAAGCCACGTTTCTAGCATTTGTAAAACTGCATTTTTCCATCTCAAAAATATACCTAAATTACGACCTATTCTCTCAATGTCAAATGCAGAAATGTTAATCCATGCGTTTATGACCTCAAGGTTAGATTATTGTAATGCTTTATTGGGTGGTTGTTCTGCACGCTTAATAAACAAACTCCAGCTGGTCCAAAATGCAGCAGCTAGAGTTCTTACTAGAACCACCGGAACCGGGAACACTTCTCATAACACCCGATGTACTTGCTACATCGTTAGAAGAATGGCATCTACGCTAATATTAGTCTGTTTCTCTCTTATTCCGAGGTCACCGTAGCCACCAGATCCAGTCTATATCCAGATCAGATGGTCACTGCAGTCACCCGGATCCAGTACGTATTCAGACCAGATGGTGGATCAGCACCTAGAAAGGACCTCCACAGCCCTGAAAGACAGCGGAGACCAGGACAACTAGATGAGCCCCAGATACAGATCCCCTGTAAAGACCTTGTCTCAGACGGCCACCGGGACAAGACCACAGGAACCAGATGAGTCCTCTGCACAATGTGACTTTGCTGCAGCCTGAAATTGAACTGCTGGTTTTGTCTGGACAGAGGAGAACTGGCCCCCCGACTGAGCCTGGTTTCTCCAGGGGCGCGGGAAGATGTTTTCGGTTGGGGGTGCTGTGTGTGTCAGTGTTGGGTGAGGGGGGTGTTGGGGGGGCTGGTCCACTTACGTCAGTGCTCGTGCTGGGGCTGGTGTTGTTTGGATGCCGATTTTGGAAAGTTTTTGCTGGGATGGGCATTTAAAAAAATCTGAAATTCGCTTTTGCCCCATTATCTCCTTGTATTAAAGTTAATCTTGTTTGCATTCTGTACAGTTCATGTCTGATACCACGCGCTAGCGTCTAGTGTTCATGAGGATTAGGCTAATCATCCCATATAGAAAACATCACAAGTAAAATTAATCACGTTTATAAAGATAAGCATGGGTTTATTATGGCCCACTTACAATTTACATTTCAGAGATCATTACAAATAAATTATTAAAAGCTAAAACTGAATAAATTTAAATGAACAAACTTGGCGTCGCATTTGCAACCATGTGAAAACAGGGGGTGCTGCAGCCCCCTCAGTACCCCTACTTCCCGCGTCCCTGGGTTTCTCCCAAGGGTTTTTCTCCATTCTGTCACCGATGGCGTTTTGGTTCCTTGCCGCTGTCGCCTGTGGCTTGCTTAGTTGGGGACACTTAATTTCCAGTGATATCTTTGACTTGATTGCACAGACACTATTTAAACTGAACTGAGCTGGATGATGACATAACTGAATTCAATGACGAACTGCCTTTAACTGAAAAATGAGTGTTTACTATTGTCATTTTGCATTATTGACACACTATTTCCCTAATTAATGCTGTTCAGTTGCTTTGACACAATCTGTATTGTTAAATTGTTGTATTGTTTTTTTATCAACACTTGAATATAGGTAGGTTTCATTAAAAAAAATCATAATTTTGAGCAAAAAGGTGAGAAAATCACATTTTTATCAAAAACTACATCTGGATAATATTCAGTACGATTATCAAAGCATAAATCGCTTCCATCAATACCTCCAAAGCTTGCACAGACACATACCACTTGCTGGATCAACATTTTACTCTGTAACATTATGCAGTTTTCATTTATATACTGTCTATTGCTGATGATCGCATTATTTTTCATATACATCTGTTTGCATTTTTCCGGCCTGTTCACGTGTGTTTTTGTTCGGGAGGTTTTGTACTCGTTCAGAAGATGTGTAATAGCACCCCGAGTGTATAACAGTGAAAGAAAACACGAAAAGCCGTAAAAACTCGTGTTTGGCTGGGAAGCGTTGTCTTCTAAAAGACGAGATAACTCGTCCATGGCGGGTGCAATGTTACACTGTGCTGGCGCTAGAGGGCGATGTGTCTTCCGGATACAGTGCGCTTCTCTTAATAACTTCATCGAGCGAGACAATCCGGAACAACAACATTGAGGAATCGGACGGCTTGGAACCTGAACCAACAAATTATTCAAGGCTTGAGCGACAGAAATGAATTGTTTTGACGTCTATGAACTGGAGGACATTAGTGTCTGCGGCTAGTGAACCAGTATAATTATACTAATGCAAACTGGCGTGTTAAAGGCATAGACACAACCTTTGGGCAAAATAAGTATCTTTTGTATTACCATTCTGTTTTCAGTACTTAAATCAAATCACATCCGTTTAAAAACGCAGAGAGCAGTTTTGACAAATTTGATTATAACAGTTGACACTCCAATAAGGCACTTAAATGCTCCCCAAATTCGAAATTTCTCAAATAGAAAGCTTTTTAAAAGTCTTTATGGATGTCATCTGTTGTGAGTGATATGCTACCGATTATAACCCAGATCTCTTATCTGATAATCTGACTGCTGTTCTCGTTTCACTCGTGATATTTGTCTGAAATCTCTTCATGTGTTGTGATAAACAGGTTAAGATGTCATTATGGGTGGCACTGCTGTCTGTGGCACCTTTGGGACGAGGTGTGGACTGCCTGCGGTCTTGCTTTGTCTGGCAGCTCTCCTCTGCGCCAATCTGCTGCTGTATTTCTACCTAGATGCCCTGTATCAGGACACTAACCCTCTCTCAGCACACACGCAGTGCCCGCTTCGCCACTTTAAAGTGGGCACCAGGACCACCTGTACCCCTTGGCTTCAGTGCCCCGAAATTCGTGCTGAGGTCCGTCGTGTGAAGCTCATCGGACAAGGAGCTGTGAAGAAGGTGAGTTTAAATTTAATGTAAAAAAACATTTTAATCCGTTGTTTACAAAATTCTTATTCCACATCCTGCCCAGTATTGTCCTCCAAACAATGTGCAGTTTGAAGGCAATGAAAACAATTACAGTGAATGCATTAATGTAGGCTTTGTGCAGTTAAACTGCAAACTTGGCAACCCTGAGCACATGCATCTGTCACAGCACATGACAGGGCAAGTCGTCATAGACTTAAATGCTTTTGTTTGAAGCGTTTAATATGATTCTTTCTCATGTTTAGGATAGCATGGGTCGTGCACTTTTCCTGCAGCAGCTCACTCTGCATCCACCGCTGTTTTTCAGTTGCTTTCTGTCTGTTTTTCCATTGCCGTTTGGATTATTGCATAAAATAAGCGATTTGAGCAACAGAAGTTAGTGGGTCTTGCATGTTTTGTTCATCATGATAACATTTTAACACAGCATTTATGAATTTTGAAACCTAAATATAATCACTAGAAGTAAAAAGGTAAATGTAGGCTATAAACTGGCAGCCATATCACCCTGTAGCCCAAGATTGGTTACCCACTGAAGCTAAGCAGGGTTGAGCCTGGTCAGTACCTGGATGGGAGACCTCCTGGGAAAACTAGGTTGCTGCTAGAAGAGGTGTTAGTGAGGCCAGCAGGGGGTGCTCACCCTGTGGTCTGTGTGGGTCCTAACGCCCCAGTATAGTGACGGGGACACTATACTGTCAACAAGCACCGTCCTTCGGATGAGACGTTAAACCGAGATCCTGACTCTCTGTGGTCATTAAAAATCCCAGGATGTCTTTCGAAAAGAGTAGAGGTGTGACCTCGGCATCCTTGCCAAATTTGCCCATTGGCCTCTGACCATTATGGCCTCCTAACAATCCCCATATCTACTGATTGGCTTCATCACTCTGTCTCCTCTCCACCAATAAGCTGGTGTGTGGTGGGCGTTCTGGCACACTATGGCTGCCGTCGCATCATCCAGGTGGATGCTGCACACCAGGTGGATGCTGCACACCCCCCACCCCTGACAATGTAAAGCGCTTTGAATGCCTAGAAAAGCGCTATATAAATGTAATGAATTATTATTATTTATTTTATTATTATTAAACAATCTACACCACGGTCATATGACTTCAACATCGCCATCACTACGGTTCCAAAAACTCTTTTAGTCTTTATTCAAAAAATATTTAACCTGAAAGATTAAGTTAAAATAGTTTGCAAGGGCGTGATTATGAACACAAGGCGAGAGTGGACTAATAAGTAGATGAGTTTTCCTGTTCACTGTGATGACTTTAATGTCCCTGACAACCTTTGTAGTTCTTTATAAAGACAAGTAAAAGTAAAAAAAAAAAAAAAAAAAAACCACGATTGAGGTATTACTGATGTATTTTACGTTGTAGAATAAAACGTGAAAATATTTTGAGCTTGTGTTAACCACAGACCCTATTTCAGACATTTAACCAAAAAACCCATTGAATTCAGGATGATGGAACCTGAAGTGCTAAAATGCGTTTCTGGGTTTTAGCCTACAAAAATACATGATCTCTGCAGTGCTCTATAGAAATGCGTTATTCACCATTGGAAAGTGACTGTGAATGTTCATTTTTGGGTGAACTATTCCTTTAATACATCCTCAGAGACACATGATTGCATGATTGTGTTTTCTAGGTTTATCTGTCAGAGTGGCGGGGTCAGAAGGTGGCGCTCTCCGTCTTGTCATCAGAGCAGTATACAGATGATTTCCTGCACGGACTGACAATGCTACGTGCCTTGCAGAGCGCCCATGTCGTGACGCTTGTAGGGGCGTGTGAAGAGGATGGTGTGTTTGTAACAGAGTATCACCCTCTGGGATCAGCACTGACGCTTGACGCCACTCTCGCACAAGACCGATATCACTGGCGAAACTCCTGGCATACTCGACTACAGCTGGCTATAGACTACGTCGCCTTTCTGGCATACCTGCACAGCAGTCCGGTGGGCATCCGTGTCATGTGTGACTCCAACGACCTGCACAAAACTCTCAGCCAGTTTCTGCTCACATCCGACATGCGTCTGTTGGCCAACGACTTGGATGCGCTGCCTGAGGTGGAGAGGGGACGTCAAGGGGTGAAGTGCGGTCACCATGAGCTCACCGGGGACTTCGCTGCTCCAGAGCAGTTGTGGCCTTACCGCGAGGATGTGCAGTTCTCTGATGAAGCCATGCCTGGTTACGATGAAAAGACAGACATCTGGAAGATTCCAGATGTGACACGTTTCCTGTTGGGGAGTGTCCTGGGAAGTGATGTCATCCATTTCCACTTGTTTCAGATCTACACTGAATGCAAGAGTAATGAGCCTCACATGCGGCCGACGGCGCTTGAGGTCCTCAGTGTGTATCGCTCTGTCTACGACAGCATGATAGAGAGTCAATCACAGAGAGTTAGAGATATGTTGTAGAGCGTAATGGTCATTAAAGGGGTAGTTCAACCAAAAACCTGTATGTCTTACTTTCTTTTGTAGAACTTTAAAGAAGATATTTTGAGAAATGTTCCTTATAATGGAAGCCAGTGGTCACCAAAACTGTTTGATCACCAAGGTTCTTCTAAATATCTTCTTTTGTGTTCCACAGAATAAGTCATACAGGTTTGAAATAAATGATAGAATTTTTAGGCGGACTGTACGTTTAAGTTTAAAAGATACCATTGCAGTGCAGTGGGTTTTGTCATAATACATTGAAGAATATGCAGCAAATTTATGACAGCAACATCCAGCAGAGGATGAGATGCAGCATCTCAGGGTTTCAGATCTGAATCCAGCTCCAAATTCTTACTTATGCGAAGACATTTTGCAATACCTCATAAAAGTTATTTTAAGTTAAATGAATAGAACTTACCTTACTAATGCCATGATTAATTGTGTGGAGTAAGCGTGGATTTAATTTGAATTTTAATAGGATATCATTATGAATACAGGACCTGCTTTGTTTTGTTCTCGCTAAGTATTTATATTTGAAAGCCTTTAATAAATCATTTTCTGAACAAACTGTGATAGTGTTGTCAATATTGTATGATAGGTGCTTTCGAAACGGTGCTTCGTGAAGCTTTGAAACATTTACTGATCTTTTGTTGTCAAAACGTTCCAACATTCCAATGTTTCGCCGCTAGACAGCGTTGATCTAGTGAACCCGTGAACTAGTGCCTAATGGCTAGATCTTGGGTCATCGTGATGTACAGAGCCAGGTCTAGGCATGGACAGGGAACGTAGGCAAAGACAGTGGAGATATTTTAATTTATTCATTTATTCGATTTGTGCATTAAAAGCAATCTGAGCTCTACAGAAAATCATGAAGTTAATGTTTACAATATCTTAATGTCTTCATGCATCACATGCATAGTGATAATAGTTTACATTTTGCGACGAAGATTACACTTACAATCGAGATTACATATTTGCAATTAGTTCGTAAAAGGTTGGTTACACCGATTT